AGTTATATAGACCTGAAGGACACTAACCAGTTGTGTATCTAATAGCAATCTTAATCCAGAATTCTCATTATCACCAACTAGATAAACAAGTCTCTTCCCATCCTCTTTGAAACCAGCTTTGCTTTAGTCTGATTCCCTCTTGTATTTTCCTAGGACAACCATAACAAAATATCGAAGATTGGGTGGCTTAAACAACAGAAATTTATTTTCTCACAGTTCTGGAGGCTGGAAGTCCACGATCAACATTTCAGTAGGGTTGGTCTCCTCTGAGGCCTGTCTCCTTGGCTAGAGTTGGCCGCCCTCTTGATGCCTCTTCTGGTTGTCTTTTCTCTGTGCACACGCACCCCTCATGTCTCTTCCTCTTTTTATAAAGACACCAGTATGTCAGATTATGACCCCCTTTAACATTAATTACCTCTTCAAAACCTCTATCTCCAAAAACAGTCACATTCTGAAGTACTACTTGAGGTTAGGATTTCATCATATGAATTTGGGGGGGGAGGAGCACAATTCAGCCCATAACATGTCTGTAATTATTTCATCTTTGACACATGCTCAGCATATATTTGTATGAGAAGTATGTTGTTAACTTTTTGAAAATTGTGCTTTGCAAATAATTCTGTCTGAGTCCACGTAGTCTACCTGTTATTTTTTCTTACTACGGCAGGCTGTTTGCTTGAGGGCTACTGGCATATTAACACCAATTCAACAAACAAAATTACTCTCTAAAGGGCAATGTCATACATTTTTTTTTCTCTTGTCCTCTCAACCAGTGAGAGTCCTTTGCCTGAAGCTTTCTTAATCTGCCAGATCAAGGATCAAACACAATCACACATGACCTCAAGGGACCCTGTAGGAAACCTTTCTCAGCAAATAGACCCAAGCCTCCATTTTTTCTGGCCACTGAATGTTCAATAATTAGCACAGTATTTAAATAATGCCTGTTTCATGTTTGTTGTCAAAAACATTTTGTAATTCTTGATCAATTAATTTCCACTATCTTCTTAACTTAATCTATATTAAGGTCAAGATCATGTTATCAAATTACATTCCAGAGCTGGGATTTATATTCTGGTCCCGCAATCAGTCTCCTGGGACACACTGCAATTTTTCATCTCTCATTATAGAAAAATTTGCCCTTAGCAAATGTCAGAGGAGCACATCCCCAGCAATTTCTCGTATCAATCAATCCAAGCAAATATAATGGGCTTGCTTTTCCCCAGAGCCGAAGTCACCTCCTGGCAGGAAGTTAAGTGATGGGCTCTGAGTCAGAGCCCTGAGCTGAAGCCCAGGGCCATGCAAAAATGAGATTTTGGAGACTTAAGTTTTCATCATCTATGATGAACTGGGATAGTACTCATTTTTGGTATCCTGGCAAGTATTACCATCTTCCTTCATCTGGTAACATGCCTCACCTCCCCTGGACCGACCCATCATGTTACCCCTTAGCAACAGTGATTGCTCCAAGGGGTGGGCATATGATCACAGAGCCAATCAGAGCTCTTCCCTGGGACTGATCTACTGACACTAGGGAAAGTGTTGTTTCTTAAAGCTGCAGGGTAAGAGCACAGGACTATAAATCAGGAGGCCTGGGTTCTAGTCCCATTTTGATCACTAGGCACATCGTTTAAATTCTCTGAGCCTCCATTTCTTCATCTGAAATTAGGTGCAGGTCAGAGAGAGCTGTATTAGCGATCGCTTTGCCACCCCCATTCACCCCCTCACACAAGTATACAACACTTTCTTTTGGCCCCAAAAGAATGCATTTCTACAACTTTGGCTTCATTTTCCAACAAGAGGGGCACTTGAAGGTTTGCTGCAGGAAATGAGAAGAAATGCTAGACCAAAGTGGGGCTCCTTGGATGCTGCCACCACCTGTGCTGCTCTCTTTCCCACAACCCTCCCCAAGGCCCTTTAGGAGAAGGTTCCTCTAGCTGTCACCTAACTCTTCAAACCTCAACGCACTCTGAGACGGAAGAACTGCAGCAACACCATTGGACATTGTGCTGTACCAAATAAACATGCACAGTTGGCAGCTGCCATATAATTTTAGAAACCTGCTAGAGCTAGATTAAATTAAGCTGATGATCAGAGCAAATTGTCAGGCTTGGCCATTCTCATTTCCTCATCTAATCAAAACTCAGCCAGGTAATTCCAGCTCCTATGTGACAGAGAATTTAGGAGAAAGTATCTAGGCCACTAGAGATCTTAGAATGTAAATCCCCTGAGAGCACAGATTTGTGTTTAGTTTGTCCATCACCGCATCTCCAGCATTAGAACCAATAATGTCTATTTGGTGACTGAATAAACTCTGACAGCCCGAGAGTGTCAGTGATTAGCCCAAGTTTGCCCAAGCAGGGTCAGAGTTGAGCCTAGACCTCAGGGACAGAGAAAGAGAAGAGAATCTATACATATAAAACCCTAATATGCAAATAGACCGAGCGGTGGAACAACCAAATAACTGGTCATTATGATGTGTGCTGACCACCAAGGGGCACTTGTGAAACATGGCTATGGCAGGATGGTGAGCAGGTGAGTGGGGGCACCAGACCAAGGCTGGGCGCCAGTCGGTCAATGTCATCAGGGATCCTCTGGTGGTTACTGAAAATTCTTTGCTCCCACATGCCACAGTCCTGCCTGGTGCTCACAGCCACTGCCTATGCCGGAGCTACTGCTTGCACCTGCTGCCAACACTGGCCTCACTCACACCCAATCACTCAGCACAATTAGAGGGTGCGAGAGCCGCAGCTGCCGACTCGGATAGCCCCTAAGAGCTTCTCCACCTCCCCCTGCTCCTAAGGGGCTATCATTGGGGCCTGCAGCCACCTCTTGCACCCACTGCTGGTACAGGCCCCAATTGCTCTGCACTGTCAGCAGATGCCAGTGGGGCCTGTGCCATCAGCACATGAGAGCATTGGCAATGGGAGTGGGGCTGTCAGGGTCACGGTGGGAGGGGCCAGGTAGGGGTGCAGAGGATGGGCCAAAACCCGCCCCTGTGCCCACCTCAGCCTCGTGGCCCACAGTTCCTTTCAAGGTGCACAAATTCGTGCACTGAGCCCTCTAGTAAATAATAATTGTTTAGAGGTCTTACTATGTGCCAGATGTTATTACCATAAAAATTAGACAGTATTTTACTTAATTCTTTCAACACTATGTGATATGTACCACTATTATCCCCATTCTACAGATAAAGTTTATCTAGCAGGTCCCAAAGCACAGGGGTGTTGATCCACTCATTTGGCAGATAGTTACTGAGCACCTGCTATCTCCCCACACTGTGTCTAGCACGAGGATACAATGGTGAGCAGGACAGACCCGGAGCTTATATTCTAGTGTGGGAGACATTGAGTCAACAGGTAAAACACAAACAACAGAGCCTGGCCCGTGTGGCTAAGTGGTTGAGCATCAAACTATGAACCAAGATTGTAGGCCTGACTCCCAGTGGGAAGGGTGCAGGAGGCAGCTGATCAATAATTCCCTCTCATGGTTGATATTTACCTCTCTCTCCTTTCTCTCTGAAATCAATATAAACATGATTAAAAACAAGCAAACAAAACCCTTATAGTTACCTTATAAGTTGCAGAAACACAGGGGGTGCCTAAGACATATTTGTGGAGATAGAGGGGTTGGTTGAAGAAAAGATATGACTAGAGGATGTCTTATCTGACATTGGCATTACTAGAGGAGGAGGAGGGGGAGGAAGAGGAGGGGGAGGAGGAGGAGGGGAATGAAGAGGAGGGAAGGAGAAGGAGGGGGAGGAGGAGGAGGGAAGGAGAAGGAGGGGGAGGAGGAGGAGGGGGAGGAGGAAGAGGGGGAGGAGGAGGAAGGGGAGGAGGAGGAGGCAGCCACGTGTTCCTGTTGTTATGGCTGTGTAACAGATTCCCCAAACATATATGGGACTGGCTTAAACTCAAACCAACATCTCTTATGCTCAAAAACCGTTGGGGTCTGGAATCCAGACAATTTGTCTGTGGCCTCAGCTATAAGACTCTAAAGCTGGGGCTGGACTCACCTGGAGACCAGTTCACTCACATGTCTAGTGGTTGATGCTGGCAGTTGGCTGGAGGCCTCAGTTGCTACGTCATCTTTCTGCTTCAGTAGTTTGGATTTCCTCAAAATATAATGACTGGTCTCCAGAGCGAGAATCCCCCCAAAAACTACATCCTTTTAATGACCGAGAATGTATATTCCTTTGCAATAAAAATGTCTTTTAAAATGCATTAACAACTTAATATTGTGCACTCGTTAGGGTCCAGGGCCTGTGCAACAAAACATCGCATGGATTAATTCATTTTATCCTTACAATCCTATGCAGTAGAAACTTTTATAAACCCCATTTTATAGATAAAGCACAGAGGTTAATTAAGTGCACAATGGTCACACAGCTACCAAGGGTGCAGGGTCCAGATTTAAACCAGGCAGCCCCTGTCTGTAACTATACCGGCCGCCAAGTAGCTTTCAGACCTGCTTCTCCACCTCCCCCTGCTCCTAAGGGGCTATCATTGGGGCCTGCAGCCACCTCTTGCACCCACTGCTGGTACAGGCCCCAATTGCTCTGCACTGTCAGCAGATGCCAGTGGGGCCTGTGCCATCAGCACATGAGAGCATTGGCAGTGGGAGTGGGGCTGCCGGGGCCACGGTGGGAGGGGCCAGGTAGGGGTGCAGAGGATGGGCCAAAACCCAACCCTGTGCCCACCTCAGCCTCGTGGCCCACATCCCTCCTGGCTAGATGGTCTGCAGTTAAGGGTCCCCAGGCTAAGGTCTCCGCGCTCAGGAGCCTCAGTCACTCGTTCACTACGTGGTCCAAGAGGGTCTCCCGTTTTTTGTTAAAAGCATGAGAAGTGCAACGCCGGGAAGCTCCTCCCGAGGTCTATCTAACCTCTGACCATTGGACACCGCCTACATAGCAGCCCTTGAGCGCGGCGCCTGAACCCGCGGCCACTAGGGGTCGCCACGGCGTCCCCGGGCGGGAGGGCGGAGCGGCGCAGATCGCCGGGAGCATGTGGACGCTCGGACCCCGCTGGGCTGCCGGCCTCCTGTCCCGCTCGGCGCTCCGGGGCTCGGCCCGGACCCAAGCTGGGACCCTGCGGCCGGCGAGGAGCATCGCACTGGGCGGCCGCCGATCCCTGCTCGCCAGGGCCGCCGTGGCCTGCGCGCCCCGCCGGGCGGTGAGTACCCGCCCGGCCGCCGCCCGGGCCGCGCGCCCGCGCACAGACGCGCACGCCGGCGACGCTCTGCGCACGCGCGCCGCCCGCCCGGCTCCCGCGGAAACGGCGGCGCGGGCGGCGGGCTGAGCGGGGCGCGGGGCCCGGGGCCGTGCAGACCGAGCGGCGCCGGCCGCACGGACCGGTGTGGCCTGTGCTGTGGCCGTCACCGCGGTTGGCACGGTTGCTCTGACGGCTCCTGCAGAGCCAGCCTTTTTAAACAAGGCGCCTGCGCTCCGCACCCCCCTGTCCTCCTGGGCTCACCTCTCAGCCCGTGCCCTCTGCCTCCTTTCTAGCCAAGGGCATAGTGGCTCGCGAGCCATAACTGGCAGCCTCTGACCCCTTCTCTTAGTGGAAACCAGAGTGGCCTTTGGAGAATGCAGATGTGATCACCAACCCCTTGTAGTCCTTCGGTACCCTCCCCCCCTCCTTCCCAGAATGAAGTCCAGTGGAGGGGCTCCCTGTGCCCTCTGCACTTAGGCTGCACCCCTCTTCTCTCCCTTCACAGGTGCCTGCCCTCCTGCCCACCTGCCCTCATGCCCACCTGCTCAACTGCTCACCTGCCCACCTGCTCAACTGCTCACCTGCCCACCTGCCCTCCTGTCCACCTGCCCTCATGCCCACCTGCTCAACTGCCTACCTGCCCTCCTGTCCACCTGCCCTCCTGTCCACCTGCCCTCCTGTTCACCTGCCCTCCTGCCCCCTGCCCTCCTGCCCACCTGCTCAACTGCTCACCTGCCCACCTGCCCTCCTGTCCACCTGCCCTCCTGCCACCTGCCCACCTGCCCTCCTGCCTGGGGTAGATCCTCTGCCAGGACCCCCTCTCTAACTCTCTGTTCACTAGCACCCCACCCACTCCCGTTATTTGAAGTGGGTGGGGTGTTAGCCAAGCTGGTCAGTAGGGTTGGATGTAATTGCTGGATGCTCAGCAGTTATTGTAGCGAAAGAAATTCAGCAGGTCCCATTGTCCCCTGCAGATCATTTGATTAATCAGATCTTGTTGTAATGTAACCCCCATCTTACAAAGGACGCCTCAAAAAAGTTGAATTACGGAGTCATTTATTAAAGGCCGGCGGCATAGGAGGGGCTAAAGCTCCAAATCTCGCAGCTCCAAATATGTCCATATTGTTATATTTATAAGGATTTCTGTTTTGTTATATAGAAACACCCACCCACCCACCCCCCGCCCAACAGCTTGCCTCGTCTGGCAAAATATCACAAAAGTATTGATTACATCTTTGGGTCTGGAATGAGGAACCTGTTTTGAGATTTTATAGAAGTGAAACTGAGCAAGCTAGTTGTCTAAAGTATCTACGAATCACTGAATCAATAGAAACACATTATCTGGGACCACCTGGGCAATTTAGAATATTTGTGCTGTCCAGATTCTGGGATCCCTGAGTCAACAGGAATGCACTAATGTATAACTGCTGAGGCAATTTAGGATCATTGAACTGTCTTGGGTCCCAGAGGGATGTGCTTCGAAATCAATGGGACATTCCAACCATCATCAGTGGAGTATTGGGATAGCATACATAACTTTAGAAAATCAAAATAACTTTCTATTGCTTTAGCAAACAAGTAAGTACAGAACCCAAACTGCAGTTTCTACCTGAGATGATTGCTACCATACTTCAATCTGTCTGCAGTCAGAACCTCTTCTGGGCGGCACCGACTTCTGCCTCGTGCAGTTCCTTGTTGCTTGTTTTTTTCAAGGGCTGGGAGTGTCATGGGTGCTGCAGGGTGTCACCTGGGCTGATAGCCTAGCTGGAGCAGCGCCGCCCAGTAGAACTTCCTGTGACGATGGACCACAGCCACGTGAGACTGCAGGACACTCAAAATTCGGCCCATGAAACAAAGGGACTGACTGTTTACATTTTATTTTGTTGCAATAAAATTACATTTAAATGCTGCGTGTGGCTCATGGCTACCGTACTGGATAGCACAGGCTCAGAGAATCATTGTAATGCATTAAAAGAAAGTGAAAAATCCTGAGAAATGTTCCTGGAAAACTCTTACATGGTTACAATCCAATGTAGAAGTGGTGATATTTAAACTTTCGCGAATGGACTGTAATATACTGAGAAATGGTAATGTTCTTCTTGACTTTGGCTTTAGGGTTTGAGCCTCTACTGCCTCAACCAGATTCTCTGTGTCAAAAAACAGAATGTCTGTTTGATGAACTTGAGGACAACAGGAAGTTTGGGCAACCCAGGGTAAGATAAATATATTTTCCTATCAGATCTCTCTCTGTGTGTCTCTGTCTCTTTCTCTTTTCTCCTCTTTCTCTCTTTCTCTCTCTCCCCCAACACACACACCAACATATATACTACACATACACACACTTCTATTAACTTTTTCTCACTTTTTTCTTACCTAGACCATCCCATACGGAACCCGTTTTCTCCCCCAGCAGCATCACTCACATACATCTCTCCACTTCACTGTCTGCCGTGTTATTTTTCATGAAGTATTACGTTTTAAGAGTGTACCATAATTCATTGGCCCCATCCCCTTCCCCTAATGATGGACATTTAGGTTGTTTCCAGAGTCTTGTTATTATTCTCTTTGATGTCTCAGTAGTTAGGGTAGTTCTTCACTGTGCTCTGCGTGGCCAAGGCCAGGCCGCCCTGTCCAGCTCTATTCCACAGAAGGGACAAGAGCATGGAAGGCCTGGAAGTGGCACCTGACCCTCACTCACCTTTTAGTGGGAAGGACTTGGTCCCATGGCTTCACCTAGCTGCAGGGAAGGCTGGGAAATACGGTCTTGTGGGTGCCCGGGAGGAAGGCAGCGATGGGCTCTTGTGGAAAGCTGCCCCCAGTCTACCCCCTGCCACTGATCCCTGCATGGATCTCCTTCCACCCTCCACACACACTGCCTCCAGCCCCAAGGCTGCCACCGCAGCCCATGTGGTCTCTCATTTACCTCAAAGGTCAGCATGTCCAGGTGCTGTACATGCTTCTCTTTCAAATCTAGGCATGTCATCTCTGACTTACACACACACACACACACACACACACACACACACACATACACACACACACACACACACACACACACACACACACACACATAGCAGGGCAAGATAACAACTACCACAACTCCCACTCAGAAATGAGACGTGTCCCTGGCCTGTGGTAGCGACGGAGTCCCCCAAGGCAACACTGGGACAACTGTCAGAGGGGGATGTTCCTCCATGAAACCCCAGCTCTGCCCCCCAGGAGTACCCCTGGCCACAGGGGAGGCAGGCAGTGGGGGGCGTGTCCTGCTTGGGGTCAGGCAGCCTTTGCTGCCCACTTCCTGCTGGTAGCACTTGGGCTTTCAAAGGCCCTCATGTCTTTAAGGCTCCAGCAGGCTCTTGTAGGCCAGACTCAGTTTTCTCTGATAACTGCATTTTTTTCCCCCTCAAGAACCTAGTAGGCTTCTGATCTCTTTACCCTGAGTCAATCCTGTAGCCAGTAGCCACATCCAAATTTCTCCTGTGGGTAGAAGCCCCAGGCTGCCTTACGTTTTGCATCCTCATCCCATGCTCATCTCACTCTGTCTGTTTTTGCGCCAGGTCTGGATCCTCTTTTTGTCTTAACGAGAGGCCTTTGTTGTTCAGGGCCTACATTCTCCTTTGGCTTTTCCGCCTGTAGGCAGCCTTTAGTCCCCCAGGGCTTAGTTTCATCCCACTGACCTGCCGCTGTGCCAGTGGTCTCCTGCTTCACCTTTTCCATGTCGCACCAACAAGCAACAAGGAGCCTCCCGTACACCGGAACATTCTAACCATCCCACAACTACAGGAGTTGGCCTCCCAGGCAGCAGGTTCACAGGACCTCGAGAGCGCCCGGCCTGCTGTATCCGTGTCCATTGGCCCCTCCACACAGCTCCGAGCCAGTGCTGCGAGCTGCTACGTTAGGTGTTTGCTTTGTTGGCACCATTTCCAGCTCCTCCCCGCACAGAGTCTCTGCCGCTGTCCTCTTGTCCCTGCAGGTGGTCTCTGAGGCTTGGTGGGGCCCTCACAGGATGCCCCAAGTACATTTTCCCTCTTCAGGGTCTACTTCTGGCTTCTGGGAAGCACACCTTTATACTACAGGCCTCTCTCTCAGGTCTGGAAGTTTGTACCTCTTCATTCCCTTCACCAAAGCTCATACAAGAAGTTCTGCTGTGAGTAGGAGGACAGCCCACTCCTGCAATGGCCCAGCTGGCCACTGTCAGGTAGCACCTGCCAAGCTCTTGCCTTTGAACTTGACACCTGAGTCAGCTGCGCCTTTATGTTCCCACACTCCTCAGGACACATGTCCACCTCTGCTCCAGGTTCTCTCCAGCACACCCAGCCACGCCAGCCACTTTCTAAAGAAGAGCCCCTTACCATCTCCTCATCAGTCCTGTGACCTTCCCCACCTCTTACCCCTGAGGCGGGGGTGGGGGGTGGGGGTGGTCATATGGCAGCTCTTTCTGTCTTGCATGAATTACCTCACAGCCACTGGGATCTTACCTTAGGCCTCCTGGAAACTCAGAGGATGGCGTTATCTGGGACACACCTTGTAGCCTGCACGTATTTCCTCGTTGAGGCACCAAAGCACATACAGGAAGTTTTATCAGCACAGTGTTTTTATTGTTATAATTCACATTCCAGGAAATTTGCCATTTTAAAAAACGTACCGTTTTTGTGGCTTTGAGAATATTCACAGGTTGTGCAACTTTCACCACAAACTCCAGAACATTTTTATCATTCCACAAAGAAACAGCCTGCCCAGGAACACACTCTCCCCGTTCCTCCCTTCCCCAAGCCCCTGACAATCACTCATCTGCTCTCTGTCTCTATGGATTTATAGCGGTTTCTTAAAATTGAAAAATAAGTCTCCAAGTTACAAGTGTACAGCTTGATAAATTTTTAAAAAATGGACATAGCATGTAACTCAAAAATAGCTCATGAAGTAGAACATTACCAGCCCCTAAAAACACGCCTCCTGCTCATTTCTAGTTATTAACCCCTCCTTGCCCCAGAGTAACTACCATTCTCATTGCCAATAGCCTGGATTAATTTTGCCTGGTTGTTTACTTTATATGAACTGTATCATTAAATATAAATATGTTTGTGTGTGGCTTCTTTCAGTCACCATTATGTTTGTGGGATTTGTTCATATTGTTATGTTTATAGGCATTTCTGTTTTGCTATATAGTATTCTATTGCATGAATATACCAGTTTATCTGTATTACCTATGGGTGGGCAGTGTGCAGTCTGGGGCTATGGGGTACTTCTGCTATGAACATCCTAATATAGTACATATCTTTTGGTGAACCTGGGTATGCATTTCTTTTTTTATTATTAAACTATAGTATAGCCCTGGCCAGTTTGACTGAAGGGTCCTGGGCTCAGTTCCAGTCAGGGGAACATGCCCGGGCTGCGGGCTCGATCCCCTGTAGGGGGTGAGTAGAAGACAGCCAACCGATGATTCTCTCTCATCATTGATGTTTCTATACCTCTCTCCCTCTCTATTAATATAATAAAAATATATTTTTAAAAAGTATAGTATAGTACAGTATAGTTTTATTATAAAGTATAATATACAATACTATATTAATCTCAGGTTTTACAACATAGTGATTCAACATTTACATACCTTAGGAAATGATCACCTCAATAATCCAATAACCATCTGTCACCCTACAAAGTTATTATGATGTTATTAACTGCATTCCCTGTGCTGTACATTACGTCCCCGTAACTTATTTATTTTATAACTGGAAATTTGTACCTCTTCATTCTCTTCAGTTATTCTGCCCCTCCCCCACACCTGCCACTTTGGCAACCATCACTTTGTTCTTAAATCTCTGAGTCTGTTTCTGCTTGGTATGCATTGCTGTTGGGTATATACCTGAGTGTGGAACGAATGGCATTTGTCTGTATTCACTTTAGTAGATTCTGCTCCCTAGTTTTCCAGACTGATTGTCCCGTTTATCTGCAGTAAATGAAAGCTCTGCTGGCTTCACTTCCTGGCCAACTCTTGACATTACCTGTCTCTTTCATTTTAACCATTCTGGAGGTATCTCATAGCAATTTTTAAGATTTTTCCTTAAGACTAACCAAGTTTTACACTTGTTCATATGTTCATTGGCCATTGGAGGTCTTTGAATTGAATGAAATCTGTTCAAGTATTTTTATCCATTTTTCTATTGGGTTTTCTTTTTCTTACTGATTGGTAAGTGTTCTTTATACATTCTAGATATAAGTCCTTTTTCAGATGTGGGTAATGCATATATTTTATCCCATTTTGTGGTTTGCTGGGCATAAATTTTAATTTTAAAAGCAATGGAAACTTCATCGTCCTGCTGAAGGGAATAGGTTGAGTAAATAATCTATAATAATAAAATCGTAATGTGCTAATTAGACCAGATGTCCTTCTGGACAACCTTCCGGACGAAGCCAGGGCTGCGAGGGAAGCCCAGGTCCTGGGTGCCAGCAGCTGGGGGAAAGAAGGTCTACTCTTGCACAAATTTCATGCATCGAGCCTCTAGGATAAAATAAAACATTATGAAAGTCCATATGTGCTAATATGGGACAATTTCCAAGACATTAATGAAAATTATAATGTGCTTCATTTGCATATGGAAAAGAATGTAACATTTTTAGAAGAATACAAAGAGGCTGTCATCATAGTTGACTCGGGGGATGAGGCTGCCTATTTGGGAAGAATTTTCTGTTAGACCTTCATACTATTTTATATATTTATTTTATTTTATTTTGTTTTATTTTATTTTATTATTGTTGATCCTCACCCAAGGATGTTTTTTTTCCATTGACTTTTAGAGGGAGTGGAAGGGAACAAGGGAAGGGAAAAGAGAGAGAGAGGGAGAGAAACATCGATGTGAGAGAAACGTATTTATTGGTTGCCCCAACTGGGACGGGGTATTGAAGCTGCAACCCAGATATGTGCCCTTGACCAGAAATCAAACCTGAGACCTTTCAGTGTGTGGGTCGACATTCTTAACTACTAAGCAACACTGGCCAGAGCTGTTTAAATTTTCACTCTGAACATGTTAGCTATTTTCCATCAATTTTATAAATCTAAATGAAAAGTAAGTGTGGGGATATGATGTAAGTAAAACGGAGCGGTTTGGTGATGGTGTGTGCTTGTGGTTTTTGTTTCCCTGCAGCTCCTTGGATGAGTCCACCTATGAGCGGCTGGCCGAGGAGACCCTGGACGCCTTGGCAGAGTTTTTTGAAGACCTTGCAGACAAACCTTACACGTGCGAAGACTATGATGTCTCCTTTGGGGTACCTCTCCACTTATTTTCATTTTCCTGTTCCCTCCCTAAGAACCTTAGCTCACTAAAATAAAGGATGCCCCTTCAGCAGAGGGAAGCATCCAACAGCACGTGGTGAAGGGTGAGACCAAAAAGCTAGGGTTCACGTGCCAGCCCTGCTCCACAGGCTTGTGACCTTGGGTGTGTCACTCATCTTCTTTGACCCTCATTTTTGCTGAAAAATACAGATTCTGAAGCTTCATTGGAGACCCATAAAGGTAAATCGGAAAGGGACCCAGCATGTGCTTGTCTCATCAGGCAGGCGTGTGGAACACGGAATGAGACCACAGGTCTTAAGTAGGGTAAGATAGTGCTGAGAAATATTCCGACTCCGCTGACAGGGGGCCCACTCGTGGGAGTTCCTGATACAGTACGTCAGGGTGCATTCATAGGAAGCATTTATTCTCAAAACTCAACTGACATTCTAAAGTTCATCCTTGGGTCCCATCCCTAAGAGTTTTTTTGTTTAATTTTTTTAATGTCTTTTTTATTGATTTCAGATAGGAAGGGAGAGGGAGAGATAAAAACATTAATGATGAGAGAGAATCACTGATCAGCTGCCTCCTGCATGCCTGCTACCGGGGATCGAGCCCACAACTGGGCATGTGCCCTTGATGGGAATCGAACCCAGGACACTTCAGTTTGCAGGTCAATACTCTTAACCACTGAGCCAAACCAGCTAAGGCCCTAGGAGTTTTTATTTAACAAATATGGGGTGCAGCCCAGACGAGGCATTGTGGTTTTGTTTTGTTTTTTTAAATTTTTTAAAATCTATGTTATTTATTTTTTTACAGAGAGGAAGAGAGAGGGATAGAGAGTTAGAAACATCGATGAGAGAGAAACATCGATCAGCTGCCTCTTGCACACCTCCCACTGGGGATGTGCCCGCAACCAAGGTACATGCCCTTGACTGGAATTGAACCCCGGTCCTTTCAGTCCGCAGACCGACGCTCCATCCACTGAGCCAAACCGGTTTCGGCAAGGCATTCTGGTTTTAAAGTTTTTAAAATATGTTCACCAGTTGACTGTAATACACAGCTCAGGCCAGAACTTCGGGACTGAATGAAACTTAAGCCCCAGATCCTGGAAGCCAAGGGAGTGCTGGTCTAAACGGACTGGCCACCAGGTGGCAGACCTTCGCAGTTGTCAGCCTTCGGATTTAGAATTACTGCATTGCTTAGGCCTTTGGGAGCAGTTCTTTTTTGCCATCGGGAGAAAATCCCCTGCAGAGGTTAATCCTCTTGACAGCCCTTAATTAATATCGGGAAATGTCATGAAGTGTGCATGTTGGATTAAACCGTGGAATTATTTAGGGCACCCAGCTGTCAGGCTAACGTGACAGAAAGACTGTTGGATGTGGCTGTTGGAGCTCTGGATCGAGAAGGGACTCCCTCAGAGGGAGCAAGCAGCCTGGTCGGTGTGGTTTAGTTGGTTGAACATCATCCTATGCAGCAGCAGGAGCAGGTAGCAAAGTCTGGTTGTAAGGACAGCAGAGACTTGGTAAAGAATAGAGACAATGGGCCGAAACCGGTTTGGCTCAGTGATAGAGCGTCGGTCTGCGGACTGAAAGGTCCCGGGTTCGATTCCCGTCAGGGGCATGTACATTGGTTGCGGGCACATCCCCGGTGGGGGGTGTGCAAGAGGCAGCTGTTCGATGTTTCTCTCTCTTCAACGTTTCTAGCTCTCTATCCCTCTCTCTTCCTCTCTGTAAAAAATCAATAAAATATATTAAAAAAAAAAAAAAAAAAAAAAAAAAAGAATAGAGACAATGGGCAAGACAGGAATGAATGCCTCCCAGGCAGTTTTAACGGTTTCTGTAGCCGAGCATATGCGAGCATGAAGCAGTGTCCAGGCTGGGTTTTAGAAGTGCCCCTGCAGATAGCCTCAGGGGGAAGGTTCGAGCTAGGGAACTTACAGGCCCCCTTTGTCCAGCTGTCAAGGGCTGTATGTAGCTACAGGAAAATCAAGGCTCAGGCTAAACCCTGCCACACATGCCAGCGTTTATTAGCAGGTCACAAGTACAGTTACACCGCCTGTTCTTACAGGATTGCTGAGGCCCCACCTTGACCCAAATACTTTGCATAAAGGTTTTATTAGAAGCAGCTGTGCCAGAATTCCAGCAGCTGGATCCTGCTGACCTCACTGAGTCCAGCAATGGAAGCTTCTGCTCAGTGGTGGCTCATAGGACGTCACGGAGTCCTCCCTCCAGTGTCTCCCTGAACAGTGACTCAGCTGCTGGGCTTTCCAGATCCTGTAGCTCATTCCTGCAAGGGAAGAGGCACATGTCTATCTGTCTGTTTTTTCAGCCAGTCCATATACCTTGAGTACTATTCAACTCACCAGCATAAAATTATTCCTAGCAAACTATTTGCTGAAGACAGATAGTTTAGACTTCTGATTAAATACTCTGAAATGCTAACTATCCTGAGGTGTGATTCCTGATTAGAATCCTTCAAGAATCCTTACATATTTCACATGTAAGACATGTCAGTATAGGAAGCATTCAAACCTTTCGAGAAATTTTGTGAGTTTTTGAGCCAAATTGACAATAGTGGGCGGAAAGCACAACCTCAACAGGTTGAGAAAATGCTCTGGAAAAATGACAGTTCTGCACCCTGCTTTATAGATCACATTCAAAAGAGGACAGAGGGGACGTAAATGGGTTACATGACATCCATTGGTGATAGATTAGGGAGGCAGGAGAAGGTAACGTGGGGAAACTTCCGGAATTGGATGAAAAGTAGAATGATAGCCATGGCCGGTTTGGCTCTGTGGTTAGACCAGAGCCTTATAGGCCCGATGTCTGAAGGGTTTCAGGTTTGATTCTGGTCAACTCGATCCCCAGCCCAGTCCAAGCGTGTGCAGTAAGCAACCACTCTCTCTCTCTCTCTCTCTCTCTCTCTCTCTCTCTCTCTCTCTCTCCTCCTCCTCCTCTCCCCCTTCCACTCTCTCTAAAAAGACAGTCAATGGGAAAAGTATCTTCAGGTGAGGATTAACATAAAATTTACACAAATGGGGATGGGCACAGGGTAGTTAACAGTCAATATTTAACTCGATGACAATGGGGCTTTGTGACCTCTGCTCTGGTGTAGTATCTGCTCTGAGAGGGGGTCCAGAAAAAGGAAATCACTTAGACATTCCACAAGTATGTTATTGTGGATGCAAAAAGACAACAGGCTTGACTGAGGTAAAGATTGACTTTTGTCAGGGAAGATTCCGGCCTAGGACATGACTGCCTGCCATAAACTGCCTTCAGTTGGGACGTTTTCATTTCAGACTATCCTTTGTGGCTGCTCCAGGTCTCTGGGTTATAAGGCCCCTCACGCAGGCCTCCCCTGAGCTTGTCACCTCCAACTCTGCTCCTTGGGCTTTCTTGGAATACTGTCTCTCCTGCCCTGCGGGCTCTGGGGAGAAGAAATTTTACACTCCTGGGTTCTTCCAGCTGCTCTAATAAATCTACAATAGACAGGTTAACAAGGGGAACTAACCAAATTTAATTACATAGGGACACAGAGGAACCCCATATATACACGAGAGTCGGAAACCCCATATACATGAGAGGTCTGTCTGGCATCCCGAGCTGAGAATGAAGTGTGGTGTCACGGGGCTTCCTAGGGGAGGAAGGTCACTGCCGGATAATACGGCCCCAAATATAAATAAATCCCTTTAGGGAGAGGTACACGTTTCTCTTGGGGCCGCAGGATGGCCATTGCCTTGCACTCAAAATAACCCACATGCCAGAGTGGCACATGTTGGGGAGGCCTGTTCTGAACCATTCCAGGGTCCCGTTGGTTGGGAAGCCCTCTCGCTGCTCCAGGCAGACGGGTCCTCCCTCGCCCAGCACCCTGAGGGTGACTGTGGAGCACCATCACCCTGGGTTCTAATTGTCTGTCTGCACATCAGCTCCCACGATGGGCCTGACTTCCTGGAAGAAGGACAGTGTCCATTCTTGGTACCCCAACGCCTGGAGGAACATTGCCAAGTGATAATGTTGACTCACTGCTTAAACGAAATGGGGCCCACGTTCCTCTCCAAAACACACTTTCATTGATGCTGCTCAGCATTTATAGATATTTTGCCAACTTGCTGCTGGCCGAGAGAGAGAGAGAGAGAGAGAGAGAGAGAGAGAGAGAGAGAGAGAGAGAGAGAGAGAAAGAGAGAGAAAAAATATTTGCTTGTTGCCATGTTCCTTCCTGCACTAAGTTGCTGACCTATTCCTGCCAGAGAGCATGGGTTTCTTAACCTTTGGGGGCCAGAACCTGTAAGAATCTTTCTGCTCTAGACCCTTTCCTGGGAACAGCTTCTCCACACACCCATCTGCGCAGCTCCAGCTTCAGGGTGGGGCTGTGTGCAGAGATCCCCTGAAAACCACCTCCGGGTCTCAGGTTGTGGGCACATGCTTCCTAGGCATTATTCTGAATCCTCCATGGGAAGTCAGTGTCAGTTAGGAGTGTGGGAAGCCACAAATACTAGAAATCCCCTAACTTCATGTGCTGCCCCATATGGGTCTGTTTCCATAAGTCAGTTGGTGACAACAGAAATGGCTGTTTGCTTCCACTTGTGTGGAGCTGCTGTCGACGGGCAGGAAGGAATGAGCCTCGCCAGCTGTGGCCGGGGTCTGTTCTGATTCACTGGTGCCTGTATTTCAGCAGCTGCTACTACGGTAGTAAATGTCTCTAACTCTCTCTCTCTCACACACACCGCCGCCTTTAAATCTGTCCACATTCCCAAAATAGACACAGAGGGCTACCTCAGGAATAGCGATAAGAACAAAGTGGGCCTCTTCGTCTGGCCTCTTCCAGGCAGTTCCAAACGCAGTCCCAGCTCCTGGAGAGCCAGGAAGGCAGCTCGTTTCCTTCCTGCTCTCTCACTTTCCTTCCGGAACAGCTTCGAGCTCCAAAGAGGGGGGAAATCTAATGACACACAATGAGCAGGAAGGAGGTGAGGGGAGTGCGCGTTGAGACTTTCTGCCTTGCACAACGTGGCTTTAACTTGGACCCAAGTTATCCCAGTACCTGGTTATCCATGCTTCTGCTCCCTCATTCATCCATCCATTCATTCATCCACAAATGTATTTTGTATCCATCCAATATTTTGCATCAAGAATGGGTGTGCTAGACACTGAAGATGCTAAGATGAACAGACAGATCTGCTCACAAGATGCTTCAAGTAGCAGAGAGTAGGGGGCAGGTTCACATTCACATCATTTATTTTCCCAATGACCCTATAATTTCTCTGCTTCTTTTTAATCAGGAAAAAAAAAAAGGTTATTAAAAAATAACCCAATAGCATCCTCCCACCCAGGCCCATCAGTTAGGTTATCCCCGGCACTTTCTCCATCCTTTCCATAGGTCTCTGTGTGTGTGAACCAAACACACAATGTGAGAACCATCGGGGCCCCTGGTTTGGACAGGCTCTGGGAGGCCCAGGGAAAGGACGCTGTGGATCTCCGCAGGTTGTGCGGGGATGGGGAGCAGCCAGAGGCGCCCCAGCCCCCCAGCTCCAGGAAAGGGAGCTGGCGGTGTAGCTGTTTCCACTTCTAAAAAGACCTCAGGCCTTGGGACTGAAGGGCTCTTTGTTGAAAGAGTGTTTTCAAATTTAAATGAGCATTTATTGAGCAGAGTTGGACCAACTGGTCTTCTGAAGAATTCGGGGCTGTTGTAGAGGAAAATAAAGCTGGGGAGGCGCCTCTGAGAGGCTGAAGAGATGCCTGGGAAGGGTCTGAAATAAAAACTCTGGTCTGGAGTGTCTGCCTTGTCTCCCACCCAAGACGAGCAAAGCGGGTGGTTCAGTTCCTTCCTTCTTTCTTGCCTGGTTTCCTTTTTTTTTTTTTTGAATAGCGTATCCTATCTCAGGTTTGGGCCACCGTGGTACTCCAAGAGCTGGTGTCTGAGGCTTTTAACGCCCTTTAGCATGTTCTGCTGGCGGTCAAGCAAACGAGGCAGAGATGGGCATGCGGGTCTTCCGTGCTGCAGCGGTAATACCGCCGACAGGCCACTCAGCCCCGTGCGCCTCTGTTTCCTCTCCGAGCAGAGGTTCTCAGCCTTTCCAATGACGTGTCTCTTTAATGCAGTTCCTCATGTTGTGGTGACCCCCAACCATAACATTATTTTCGTTGCTACTTCAGAACTGTAATCTTGCTACTGTCAATGAACCGTCATGTAAATAATCTGTGTTTTCCGATGGTCTTAGGCAACCCTGCTAGTGGTTCTCAACCTGTGGGTCTACAGCAGCGGTCCTCAACCTGTGTGTTTTATGGCTGGGGGTCACCACAACATGAGGAACTGTATTACAGGGCCGCGGCATTAGAAAGGTTGAGAACCACTGCTCTAGAGGGAAAGGAGGATTCCTTTCGCCTTGCTGCGCTCACGGGGAAGGAGGGAAGGCACTGTGAGACCGCAGTGTTATGAGCCATCTGGTCTGATTCTGGGAGCAGTTTTCTTTCTGCATGACCTCCTTCCTATTCCTAAGCACCAAAGACATTTCTTTAGGATGTATATTGCGTCCTTATATGAATGCAAAATGTTAAGATATAACAAAACACAAAGCAATTACGATGCAGTGATAACTTTTTCCTTTTTTTCCCCTCACGATTTTGTCCACCCTAGAGTGGTGTTTTAACAATCAAACTGGGTGGAGATCTAGGGACCTACGTGATCAACAAGCAGACCCCGAACAAGCAAATCTGGTTGTCTTCGCCATCCAGGTATGTTCCCAAGTCAGAGGCTCTCGCTGTTCGGCTTGTTGGAAACGTGATGTTGGGGACCATTGAGGAGGGTGCCCCCCCCCACCCACCCCCACCCCTGCTTCGGAGTCTGTGTAAGCGAGCCTTTCCTGGGGTCTGACAGCACGCCTCCCTCTCAGGAGGAAGGTTTTCTCTGGTTATGTGACTTCTGTCTGTTGATCATTTGGCTGCTGTGAGTGGATATTGGGTTATGAACGAGATCTGAAGCGACACATTTATCACGTGTCAGGACTTGGCCTGGACAGTTTTTCTCTATTAAACCATTGCCCTGCTTAAAAAAAAAAAGAAAGAAAAGCCACGTTTGATATTGCAGCATCTGAACACGCTGTACTTTGTCTTCAAAGCAAGTTAAAGTTTGACCTCTGGCTTGTTTTGAGCATCTCAGTAAAGGTTAGTTGACTCCCATTTGCAGAGCGGAGCTGTGTGCTCTGCGGGGGCGGGAGAGTTCCAGGCATCGCATTCCTGCTGCCTTCTCCACCGATGTGCTTTCAGTCTAGTGGGCTAAACGGTGGCTGAGATGGCCTGTGCTGCATCCCAAAGCCTGAGAAACTGCAGGGAGAGCGGGCCCCTCCTCCGTTGAGGTGTTTATCAGAAAGTCAAAGAGAAGCGTCCACTGAAAGCCCGGAGGCCAGCCTCTGTGGGTCATTCATTAACACTTCCGAAGAGAACATACTGACTGTGAATTGGGAACGGCTCGGGTATAACTAGACATAGAATTATTTGAAAGCCTGATGGCGTTTGCATTTTTTTTTAATTTAACTTGTTGCCGAAACCAGTTTGGCTCAGTGGATAGAGCGTCGGCCTGCAGACTGAAAGGTCCCAGGTTCGATTCCGGTCAAGGGCATGTACATTGGTTGCGGGCACATCCCCAGTAGGGGGTATGCAGGAGGCAGCTGATCGATGTTTCTCTCTCATCGACGTTTCTAGCTCTCTGTCCCTCTCCCTTCCTCGCTGTGGAAAATCAATAAAATATATATATATATATATTTTTTTTTAATTTAACTTGTTACCTGCCCCAACCTTGATCTCAGTCTTAGGCAATTAATATACTATCGGTTTAATAAATCATTATGCCCCCCCTCATCCCAACCACATCTAGGGAGGACGTTATAATTCAACAAAAACGACTCCAGAAGTCACTGTCATTTCTGGTAAGGCCCGAAATCACCAAATGGATTGCTTTTTTAGCCTCTGCTCATTTGAAGTTGAGGGGTTTCACCCTGTGTGGGCCAGTTAGCCGGTTCAATTTGGCCTCAAACAGTGGTCTCAGCCCTAACCGCGGCCACGCATGTGGGCTGTCCATCTGATCCTTCATCTTCAGAGGAACCAGCATGAGAAACAGGGTGGATCCACTCAAGTCCAGCCATCAGCTCTGGGGATCTGGGGGTTTGTAGACACTGGGCAGGGCACCAGAAGCCATGGTGATGGCTCCACTGAAAGAATTCTTTGTTGTGTCTGGAAACTGGAAAGTCCATATCGTTCTAGGACACACATACCAGCAAGGTGATCCTACCCCCGCCATGTTTAGAAGCATATACTTCTGGATAATAAATTCCTGGAAATTCCAAGTTGTACTATTTTTTTTTAATCTGTAATTCATGATAGAAATCTGGAGAGAACATCTGCCAAGCAGACATTTTCTTCTTTCTTTCTTTTTCTTTTTTTTTTTTTTAAATATACTGTTAGTGATTTTAGAGAGGGAGGGAGGTAAAGGAGAGAGAGAGAGAAACATCAGTGGACTGCCTCCTATGTACACCCCCTATTGGAGATCAAGCTCACAATCCAGGCATGTGCCTCAGCCCGGAATTGAGCTGTGACCTCCTCGTCCACAGGTCGATGCTCAACCACTGGGCCACACTGGCTGGGCTGAGTAACTATTCTTAAATAGAAAGACCCTGAGACAAGAAGTCAAATATATGCCTCATTAAACATTACTTTCTAGAGCTCCACTCCAGTCAGTGTTTTGGTGGCAACCTCTGTGGAATCAGTGTTTCTGCTAAAGCGCTGTCCTCGGCATGAGCTGTGTGTGTGTTTTGTCTCGCAGTGGCCCCAAGCGCTACGACTGGACTGGGAAGAACTGGGTGTACTCCCACGACGGCGTGTCCCTCCACGAGCTGCTGGCCGCGGAGATGACGAAAGCCTTCAAAACCAAGCTGGACTTGTCTTCTCTGGCCTATTCTGGAAAGGACACTTGATGCCCAGCCTCATTGGAAAGACAGTGGAAGCTTCAAAGCCAAGACCCAGCTTCCTTCTGCAGCCGAAAGTCTAGTTTGTTCTGGTCCTGCTTTTGAGGGCAGTTGCATTGTGGGTGGTGACAGCTCTGGGAAAAGAATAGGTCGCCTCCCACCCTACCTCTGACTTTGGATGATTAACTTCCATAGCTTTTTTTGGACTTACTGTCTGATTCCCTCCCTCACATGATAGCCTGTATCTTTACAATGCCTATATACCCATGCCAATATATTTAACCTTGCAACAAAGAAAAATAATAATAAGGAAAAATTCTGAGAGGAGAAATGAATTGGCTTCACTCTTTGTTCTTTGAAGGACTTGGTGAAAAACTGCACGAAGAGTGGCTGGCTGAACTCACCATTGTCTCAACACGAGACTCACTAAAGAGGGCCTCTAAGTGTTCCCACGCCTCTCAAAAACACAGACACCTAAACATAGCGGGCTGTTACTATTGAAGTGTCCGCGGCAACTCTGGAATTCTCAAACCGAAGACCATTCTCTCTTTGTGCTTTGTGTCTGCCAGGGTGTATGTAGCCTGTAAGGGGTGTCTCGGAGATATGGTGCTGTTTTTTCCCCCCTACATACAGATAAGGGCGTCCCAAAAAATATATACACACTTTGAATAATTATTGATCCCAGTGGGTTAAATCTGAAAAGAAAGAAGCATCAACTGAGGCTATCAGCTGTTAAAGTGTGTACACATTTTTTGAGTCACCCTGTATATGCACATACACACATTTAATTATGTTTGAGTGTATGTATTTTTTTTTTTTTTAATTTTAGGGTCAGTATAGAATCAGCTGCTGCAGCACAGGCCTGAGAATGCAAAAAAAAAGTCTTCCAAAGTCAAGAGGGGGGAAAAGGCACCTCCAGAAGCTCATAGATGTTGAATAATAAGTGAGGGAAGGGAGCTGAGGAGGCTCTTTGTAAATGGGGAAGGGCCCCCCAAAGGAGAAGTGTTTGTGTTCATGCAAAGAAACCTGGCTTATCCTTGGCTCAACCCAAAGTGCTGTTTGTCTCTGGGCAAGATCCACATACTGGCTGGACCTCTGTTTTCTTGCGTGTTAGGTGAGACAGTTGAGTTAGATAGAGTAATGGTGGGTTCCCAGTTCAGACAGCCAGCATTCCTGTCAGGCATAGAATAAAATATATGATTATCAGAATTACTTGAATGTCCACTGAATTCATGTTCAAATAATAACCTTCATTGTGCCCTTACTGTGCTAATATGCTATAGACGGAATGTTTTTGTTCCCCTAAAATTCACATGTTGAATCCTAGTCCCCAAAGTGATGGTATGAGGAGGTGGGGTCTTCTGGAGGTGATTAGGTCTTATGAATGCAGCCAGTCCCCTTATCAGAGAAGCCCCAGGGAGCTCCCTCCCCTTTCTGCCATCGGGGGACACAGCAGCCTGTGAACCAGACACTGAGTCTGCTGGGACCTTGACCTCAGACTTCCCAACCTCGATAACTGTGAGAAATAAATTACGTTGCTTGTAAATATCCAGTTTATAGTGTTCTGTCATAGCGCTTGAATGGACTAAGACAGCCTGCAACACCATATGACCTCATTTTGATACTTTCCGGAACATTAAAACTCATATAAAGTTATCCTATTATTTTCTTACTACAGAAAGATTTATTAATAAAACAGTGTAAACAGCCCTAGCCAGTTTGGCTCAGTGGATAGCACATCAGCCTGCAGACCGAGAGGTCCAGGGTTCGATTCCAGTGAAGGGCATATGCCCATGTTCTGGGTTCGATCCCCAGTAGGGGGTGTGCAGGAGGCAGCAGATCGATGATTCTCATCATTGTTTCTATCTCTCCCTCTCCCTTCCTCTCTGAAATCAATACAAATATATTAAATACATTAAATAAATAAAGCACTGTAAACAAATGTTCAATGGGTATTAAAATACTTTTTTTCAGAAGGAACATTATTGTTTAGTTTGGTGGAAATTGTGAGTGTGGTGGGTTAGAATCAATGAGAATATAAAATCATTTGTGGCCTGGCTGGTGTAGCTCAGTGATGGGGTGTTGACCAAGAGGTCACCAGTCTGATTCCAGGTGAGGGCACACATCTGGGTTTGGGCAGGATCCCCAATAAGGTATACAGGAGGTAGCCGATAGATGTTTCTGTGTCTATCCCTCTCCCTTCTTCTATCTCTCAAATCAATTTAAAAAAAGTTATTTTAATGAAAGTTTCATTGTACCTCACTTGGAACTCAGTTAAAAGGCGCATTCATCTATCTGGACACAACATAAAACTTAAGAGGTATTAATCAGGTGCCCTAACATGAAAAGGGAAGTTAGGGAATCGGTGCTCTTGATGCTGTCCTTATGGGCCAGCCTTTCAGGCCTAGTTACTGTTACTTCACACACAATTCTAACTGGTTTGATAATCTGGTTTCTGAGGCCCTGGGAGAGTCCCATGAGGTCAGTGAAAGGGCTGCAAGCACAAGAACGGCCACCAGGGGGCAAATAAAATCCTGCTCTGACAAGCAAAGGAAAGCAGGCAATGGGGCGCCAGTAGCTTCCCTCCTGCTCTCTTAGGCCCTAGACCACCATAGTTACTGTGCCAACCATGCAAAGAGTGAGTTTTCAGGAAAATGTTGAAAGAATTCAGTATAACAAAAAAGGCAAGAATATATAATTTTATTTTTTTTAATATGTTTTTACTGATTTCAGAGAGAAAGGGAGGTGGGGGGAAAGAGAGAAACATCAATGAGAATCATTGATTGGCTGTCTCCTGCATGCCCCACACGGGATTGAGCCTGCAACCTGGGCATGTGCCCTGACCAGGAATCAAACCTTGACCTCCTGGTTCATAGGTCGATGCTCAATCATTGAACCACACCACCCGGCATGTGTAATATAATTTTAGAAAGCTTTCAGATTCATTTAGCTTCCTGAGTGGGTACTCCTTTAACCACTGGAAAATAAAACTATCTAGAATGATTTATAAATCTCTCTGAAGATACAGAGAACTGGGGTGTAGAAAAGAGAACCTGAGATTTTTGAGGTTTTTTTAATCAGAATTTTTAAAAAATTAATCCAAACTCTTACTTGCTTATTAACACTAGCTTTAGTTTTCTTAGTTGTACAATGGAGCTGTCTAATTGGCAGTGCCTGGGCCCATATGCAAAGCACTCGGTACATGAAAAATATTGTTATATGTGCATCTTAATTTCATATTCAAATGTGGATTTTTCCCATGAAGTATTATTTATGACATCCTCTTCTCACCTCAATTTAGTGAAAATGTTCATTTTGTTTTTTACATTTTTACCAATTTTATTTAGGAATTTTTTAAATTATTATTATTTTTTTTATTTGTTTATTTATTTACTTTTTAATATACAAAATGCTCATTTTGAGACCTTGGGGATGGGTTCTGTTTCCATAGAACAATCTCTCATGCTCCCTACAATGCTGATTGGCACTCCCTCTTCTGCATAGCTTCTAGAAACAATCTGGCCAAATTTAAGTTTGACCATTTGTATTCAATAGCAGGTTTACAATAACTTTCTCAAGCTATACCTGCTCCCAAATTCTAATAACCCCATTACCACCTTTAAAGCAAGACCATGTTTATAAATGTGACATTTGTGCAGATGGTTTACACAAGGTTGCCAAGGAATGCTAGTTCCCCACCCTCAAGGTATGCACTAAGATTAAAGTTTTAGGTTGAATTCTTGGCATGGATTTATCTTTTGCAAATGAAAACACCTACATACCAGACGGGAAGGAGAGGCATAGGTATGACATTTCATATTTACCCTGCTGTTCAAAACTATGACTTTGCCGAAACCAGTTTGGCTCAGTGGATAGAGCGTCAGCCTGCGGACTGAAAGGTCCCAGGTTCGATTCCGGTCAAGGGCATGTACAATGGTTGTAGGCACAACCCTAGTAGGGAGTGTGCAAGAGGCAGCTGGTCGATGTTTCTCATCAGTGTTTCTAGCTCTCTGTCCGTCTCCCTTCCTCTCTGTAAAAAAATCAATAAAATATATATTTTTTTTAAAAATTGACTTTATGATAGCCTTACTTTGTATAGCTATGTTAGAGTAAGCATTGCCTTAAATGCTTTTTTTTTTTTTTTTTTTTTTTTTTTTTTTTTTTTTTTTACTTCATTAGCCATGACATTCTAAGGATCCCAATTAATGGCCCCTTTGGAATATGTAAACCTGAGATCACTTATATCCTTATGTCTGCTGCAGAAATAGAGTTTAAGCTCACCTAGTCCATCTTCTCTGGATACATTATTTAAGAAAGAATATACTTCACCTCCTGATAAAGTGGTTAGAGAGGGAATGTACTTCAACTTAATGACAAATGCACAGCAAACATCATATCCAACAGTGAAACACTGAGATCCTTTCTCTAAGACCAGGAACAAGACAATGACGCTCACTTTTGCCACTTTTATTCAACATAGTATTAGGAGTCCTGGCCAGAGGAGCAAGGCAAGAAAAAGAAATAAAATGTATCCAAATCAGAAAGGAAGACATAAAACTGTCACTGTGCAAATGACATGAGATTATATACAGAAAACTCTAAATACTCTACTTAAAACTGATAGAACTTATAAATGAATTCATTAAAGCTGCAGGACATAAAATCAATATTCAAAACTCTGTTGTATTTCTATACACTGAACTATCCAAAAGACCAATTAAGAAAACAATCCCATCTACAATAGCATCCAAAAGAATAAAATACTCAAGAATAACTTTAACCGAATATACAGGAGGATCCAAGATGGCTGCTCGGGTAGACATCTAGCCGCAGCAGCACACAACAATTTCAATGGAATACAACTAAAATGTAGAGTGGACATTGCCCAGAGCTACAGGTAGTCGACTGACTGAAATTTCTACAACAAGAAGGAAAAAGAAAACCAGAAAGAAAATCAGAGGAGCTGAAAAAAAGCCTAAGGTACGGAGACATGCTGCGCGCGCGTGCCC